GTCCTTGCTGTCCTCCTCCACTCTCGGGTTTGTAGGCTACACAGTGATCTGTAGAAACAAGGGCTTAAAGTCCTAGAGTTCAACTAAGGTCCAACAGAAACATCCACTCTCATTAAGTCATTAAAAAGATCCTACTTAACACTTAGAAGCCTGTCACTTAATTTACATACCCATTCTTCTAAGACACCATCCTGATTTGTAAGGAGTCTCACTATTGAGGGTTGAGGGAATCCCATATTTCTTAGATGCTTTCTATTATTTATTTATTTTGGTTTTTCAAGACAGGGATGTTCTTTGTAGTCCTGGCTATCCTGGAACTTATACTGTAGACCAGGCTGACCTCAAATTCAGATATCTACCTGCCTCTGCCTCCAAAGTGCTGGGATTAAAGGCATGCGCTGCTGCCACCACCACCCAGCTATTAGATGCTTTGTAAAATCCATGAGTTGGACTGTGGCTGAGCCAGGCTGCTCAGCTCTCTAGGTCTCCCAGCGTGACCTGTCAGCCTGTGGATCATTTTCTCCCTACTTGGGCTCGTCTCAGCTCCTTATTTTACTTTATTTATTTGTTTATTATTTATTCATTCATTTTTGAGACAGGCTCACTGTGTAGCCCTGGTTGGCCTGGAACTGTGTAGACCAGGCTGGCCTTGAACACACAAAGATCCACTTGCCTCTGCCTCCCTAGTGCTGAGATTAAAGGTGTGCACCACCATGCCCACCTTTCTCAGCCCCTTCTTGATGTTGTCAACTCCTAAGCACCTCTTGTTCCTTCACTCAGCTTGGGGAGCCACAGATGGAGCCTCACTCACTTTCTCGGGAGACATCCTTCTCTCCTGAGCAGGCGCTTAGCTCAATCTCCCAGCACTGCTGAGACAAACTCCGCCTCCTACCCCAACCCCTCTACCCCTCACCCCCTCTCACCGCCTCCAGCCCCAGCCCCTGGCTTTCCTATGTCTCTCTGCCCCTTCTTAACCGCCACCCTGCCTGGGGCAGGGGAGCTGACCCTGCACACTAAGTGCGTTTGTCTTTTGTTTGTTTGTTTGTTTTTGTTTTTTGTTCTTTTTGAGACAGTTTTTTTCTTCAATGTAGCTCTGGCTGTGAAGAAACTTGATCTGTAGCCCAGGCTGGTCTCGATCTCAAAGATCCGCCTGCCTCTGCCTCCCAAGTGCTGAGACTAAAGGTGTGTGTCACCACCGCCTAGTCCACCTGTTTCCTTTTTTTTTTTAAATTTTTAAGCATAATTTCTTTAATGAATCTTTGGGAATTTCACATCCTGTACCCCAATTCCACTCACCTCCCGGACCCTCCATATCTCCCCTTTCCAATGCAGTGGCCCCCCAAAAATAAAAATTTTTTGAAAATCAAACCAAAACAAAAAGAAAACGAGCAAAAAAACAAAACAACAAAGAAAACCTCTGCGTTCCTCCATTTTTCCCGCCTCTCTCCATCTGTCCTGGTGGCCGTGGGAGCCTCAGTGTGTCCCACAGTCTACCCTTTTGTCCAATCCGCTGTACCTGCTAATAATGTTCATTGCACTGAGTCAGTGGTCTGGTTCAAGGCCTGTGGTTTCTGGTACACCATCATCACTGCATCCTCACGGGAACTCCTCAACCACAGGCAGCAGGGAGCTGACTCTGATGGCATAGGCATAGGGAAGCTGGCTCCACCCCTCACCTGAATAGGAGAGCCTGGACTGACGAGCTCAACGACACCCAGGCCCACAGCCTGGGCTTGGTCCATCCTGACATCTACCCCAGCTAGGACCTGCTGGAGCTGTGAAGACACTGTCTCTGTGGAACGATAACTGTGGGGTCTTCATGACTCGGTGTCTGTGTTTCTTAAGAAGGTTGTACTCACGGCCCTAGGGCAGCCTAATGCAATACCTGTAGTATGCCCGAGTTTGATCTGTGGTCAGCCACAGGACACAGTGGACACTTCCGCCTGCAACGTCATCCCAGCACTCAGCTGATGTAGAGATTTTCCTCTGCAGGACACCGAAACTGTAGAAGGAGTGTATGGGCCTGAGTTCATTCCCCTTTCTATTTTCCCTCCATCTTTTAAACACAGTACACATACACAGTCTGGATATTGTTTTTTTTTAATATATTGCCATGTCTTGGAAATCAACTTTTACCAGCCATTCAGAGCCGTGTGGGTTTTTTTTTTTAATGAGTTACAGATATACCACTGCTTGTAAATGCAGCATAATATGGCTACACAGTCCCCTGTCAGATATCCATTTCCAAGGTTTTCTGCTGCAGTGGTTCAATGAGCCGTCTTACATCTGTGGTCATGCTACAAACAACTGCATAGAAACTTTCACAAGTGAAATTGCTAATTGTGGTGTTTATGCTTTTCCAAAAGGAGAATTTTTTAAAATTCTATTAAGTTACTGCCTCTCAGGTGTCTGTTCATGTGTCTACTGATTCCTGGATGCAGCCAACGTCTGCTGTCTTTTTCATTCTCTTCTCGTGTCCCTTCTGGGTTCTAGGAGAACTCTTGAGGCCCTGCAGCTCACTGCCTGCCCTTCAGCTGGCAGCCCCTGTGATCACTGATCCAGGGGTGTGACAGTCATATGTTTTGCTCTGAGAGTTCTTGTTCTCTTGTCAAGGCAACTGGCCTTTCGTCTTCCTGCCTTCTGTGGGAAGAGTAACACGCTTATGGGAGTTCTGTCTGCATCCTAACCGCTCAGACGGATTCTCACAACATGGACTTTATGTATCCAGCACCCACTATTATTAGCACCATGAGCACCCCTCTTCTGGACACATTCTCTCCATAGGTCCACTTCTGACACCCTGGACTCTAACACCCTGGATTAATTGTACCTGTTTTTTAACTTTGTATAATGGTAATTGTGCAGTGCATACAGTTTCTTCTCTTAATGTGTTTGATGAATGTAATTATAATTTATGTTATTGCTATATAGTATTCCATTCCTGAATATACCTAATTCATTTATTCATCTACTATTAATAGTTGCTTAAGTGACTTCTAGTTTGGTTATCATGAGTAGTGCTGCCATGAACACTTTCGTTTGTGTCATCTGATGCTCCTGGGTGCACATCTTTGTTTGTGTGGGTACCTAAGGATTACTGGGTCACAGGGCATATAAGTACTAAACTTTTTTTTACTATCTTTTTATTTATTCCCTGTGTCTTTCACATCATGCATCTCAATCCCATTCATCTCCTTGTCCCTTCATATCAACCCTCTGCCCTTGCAAATTTCCCCCAAAATAAAATAAATTTTAAGAGAAAAGAAAAAGAAAAACCTTGTTGTGGAAGCTGTAGTGTGACACAGTGAGTCACACAGTAAACCCTTTTATCCATATAACTTTACTTGCAAGTATTCATTTCAAAGAGTCATTGGTCTGGTTCAAGGTCTCTGGTTTCTGCTACCTCATCAATACTGGGCCCTCACTGGGACTCCTCCTGGATATCCTGTTGTTGCCCTGTATCATGGAGATCCTGCAGCTTTGGATTTGCAGGACCTTCCCCTTCACGTGTTCCAGCAGATCATAGATAGGATGGATGTTGGGGTGGGCCAACTCATAGCCCTGGTTCTGGGCCTGGGTAGATGCTGGGTTGGTCAGCCCACCAGCTCTCCCTGTCCCCACCACCAGGGTGAGCTCTCCAGGGTTGCCTCAGCTAATTCATGCAGCTAGGAGCAGGGGGTGGACCAGTTCTCCTCCTCTCATGCCCTCAGGCCGGCTCTCCACACCTGCACCACCAGGGCCACTAGTACTAAACTTCTAAAGGGGTGGTCTCATCTTACACTTCCTGGGAGTCCCGAGTGTCCCACGTCCTTGCTAACACTTGCTATGTCCTGACTTTTGTAATCCCTTTGGTGAGTACAGGGCATATTCATTGTAGTTAGTTTCTCTTTCTCTGAAAACATGTGGTGTTGAGTATATTCTTGTGTTGATTGCCCTCATCTGTGATGTTCCTGTTGACATTCATTTTTCCATTTCTAACAGTTAGGTTTTAAAATGATTTTTGGCTAGCTGGGATGTCAGATTTCTAACAAACCATTTTGTCCTGCCCACTCCCATGATCACTTTCCACTTTCCCTTGGATCTCCCGTCCTGTCACTTACTTTGTAACAAGTGAGTCTCGGGCCCAGTAGCTTGAGTCCTGCAGAACATTCAGAAACTTGCACGAAACTTACTTTATTGGGAGAAGTTGGAGTCACACAGAAGATGATGTGACTCTCGCAAGCAGAGGCGGAGTAAATACTCAGTCTTCCTCTACTCTTTCTTAAGGAGTTTTTGAAGAGACAGAGTGTGTGTGTGTGTGTGTGTGTGTGTGTGTGTGTGTGTGTGTGTCTGTCTGTCTGTCTCTCTGTCTGTCTCTGTGAGTACAGGTGTCTGAGAAGGCCAGAGGTGTCAGATTCCCTGAAGCTAGAGTACAGACAATTGTGAGCCACCTGATGGTGGGTGCTGGGAACTGAACCCAGGTCCTCTGCAAGAGCAGCTAGTCTCTTAACCCCTGGGCCATCTCTCCAGCCTGTCAGGTAGCATTTTTACCTTATATTTTATTTTCCTTTCAAAAAGTTTTATGGCCAGGCAGTGGTGGTACATGCCTTTAATCCCAGCACTCGGGAGGCAGAGGCAGGCGGATCTATGTGAGTTCGAGGCCAGCCTGGGCTACAGAGTGAGTTCCAGGAAAGGCTCCAAAGCTACACAGAGAAACCCTGTCTTGAAAAACCAAAAAAAAAAAAGTTTTAGCACATTTATTTACTTATACTTGAGTGTGCTGTGTCCACGCATGTGCTATGGGGTGCATATTGAGATCCGAGTACAACTTGTAGAAGTCAGTTCCTTCCTTCCACCCTGTGGGCCCTGGGGATCGAACTTGGGTCATGAAGCTTGGTGATAGCCACCTCTGCCTGCTTAGCTACCTCCCCATTTTAAACACATGATTGTTAGAAACAAGAACCTTTTAATGCATATCTAACAGTTCTAGCTCCCTTTCTAAAAGGACCAATGTTTTGCAGGTTCTTGATCAATACGAGCGGGAAGGATTTGCTTTCCTAGCGAAGGTGTTTAACTCCTCACATTCCTTCTTAGAAGACCTGACTGGACTTACACTTCTCCATCAAGAGACCCAAGCTGCAGAGGTAAGAACACAGCATTTCTGTCCCGAGGACTGAGGTTTACAACGTGCCAGACTCTTGCCTTTGTGGTTAATGTTAGCTTTTTTTTTTTTTCCCTGAGAGCAGGTAGCACCTTGGTATCAGGGGCACACCATGTCGTGCCAAGGTGTCTGTCCTGTAGCTGCCGACAGCACTAAGTCAAGGCAGAGCGAGCCGAGGGCCCTGATTTCTGAGCATTGCTTGTGTTTCTGGAAGGTGTGCTTGAGCACAGCTGTTGGAGAATGGTCTTTAAGGTGTCTGTGAAAACACAAGTCAGTGAGGACCTTGGGCTTTGGCTGTGTCATCAGAGAAAATGGGGCCCGCTTGTTGACAGTCTGGTCAGTCTTAGGTACCGACGTTGGCCTGTTGTGAAATGGCCCTGCCTGGCCTGGGAGTTGTGCAGGTCCCCACCCTGAATGAGGGACCGACACAGGGGGCAGTGAAGACCACAGTTCCTCAAAATGGGTGACTGAGAATGAGGACAGCATCTCAGCCATGGCTTTCCCCTGAAGGGGTCATAAGGTGACCCAGGCCCTCACGGCATTTCCCTGGCTGTGCAGGGAACCCTTGCCATCCCAGTTTCTACAGACCTGGCTCAGTGCTGCAGAGCCATGAGTCCCGGTCATTGATAAACACCCCAAGAACTGCTTCTCCACACCACTGAGGAGGCCCCAAGTAGTCAGGGAATGACCGGCCTGGACCAGTCCTGGCCAGCCAGTGGAATAAGGGCTGCCATTTGGAGAGGTGGGATGAGCTCTGAGTAGAAGAAACCATTGGAAAAACCAGAGTATGGCTGCTTGGACTCATGAGCAGGTTAGGGTGAGATTGACAGGGGCACCCTGGAAACAAGGCAGTCTGCCTCTAGCACTTGGCTTAGAGCTGAAAGCGAATTTTCTTCAACTTGTTCGGATGCTGGGGTGTTAAGCAGATGTGGTCTTTCACTGATGTCTGGTACTTAGAAGCTGGAGAGTCCCTCATCTTCAGAGCCAGGAAGTGAATAGCATCTCTGGAGAGCCCTGAGAGATGAAACTGTCCCCTAGACTGAGACTGGGGTCCCAGGCAGGTTTCAGGATGTTTTGCTGATGGTGGCTCCTGTGACCTGGAAGTGCATGAGGAGGAACCTGCAGATCTCAGCAGCTCTGACATCACTGATGGCAAGAGGCTTTGCCAGCAACAGAATTAACTTCTTTAGCCACTCAGAAGCGCTGTAGCAGAGATTTCCTTCTATCTCACTCTAGAGACAGAGCAGATGTCAGAGTAGTGGGCTCAGCCCTTGGTCACATCCGCTTAGTCTGCATTTTAGTGGCTCAGCTGGTCATATCCTTCTCAAAGGCCCAGAGGAAAACAAGTCCCTGCCAGCCTTGGTGTCAATAGTCTGGGCAGGAAGGACAGAGCTTCATCTGTGAGTCTGAGTGGGGTTTTTTGAAGTTTCCTTCACTAAGTTAGCTCTGGATTCAGAAATCCCCTGTAACTTTGGAGGTGAGCGATAATAAGCCTGTTAGCCTATGAGCCAGATGTGGCTTGCAGCTGTGGTGTTTTGGAGCTTGCCCTGTGTTAAATTTTAAAGAAAGCCAGAATTTGAAAATCACATCTTTTACATAAAAGTCTCAATTTCCTCATTTCCAACTTCTTTAAAAAATCAGACACCTTCTGTATAGAATGATGTATATGGACTGGAGAGATGGCTCAGAGGTTAAGAGCACTGCTTGCTCTTCCAGAGGTCCTGAGTTCAATTCCCAGCAACCACATGGTGGCTCACAACCATCTATAGTGAGATCTGGTACCCTCTTCTGGCCTGCAGGGATACATGCAGACAGAACACTGTATACATAATAAATAAATAAATCTTTAAAAAAAAAAAAGAAGAAGAAGAAGAAAGAAATGATGCATAGGATGCAGACTTTGAAGGCATAAAATATGTAATGGGCTGAGTGCAGCTTGGTGGTGCAGTGCTTCCGATCTTGCGCAAGGCCCTGGGTTCAACGCCAACACCACATTAGGAACGTCTATAGACACACAGTTGTCATGCCTGTCACATGGCTCCATTTCCTCTCCTGGAGACAGATGCTGTTTCTTCACCCTTCAGCCATGTTCTGGGTTAATTTCATGCTCTGCAGTTGACAGCCTTTCTGGGAGTGTGGATCTGTAACCCCTGACTTACCAAAGCTGTAAATAGAAGCTTTAAGAGAAGGGCGAAAATACAGCACTCCCCAGGGGACCACAGGGCAGCAAAGTCCCTGCCTCACGTGTGCCGTTGCTTTGTTCTGACAAGAGCATGTACGTGCAAGAGAATAAATAGAGATGCCAGAGAGTGGCTGGGTGCAGCTTACTGGTAGAGCACTCTCCTAGCTTGTGGAAGTCCAAGCCTCACTGCCCCAGGGTAAGGAGAAGATCAGGAGTTCAAAGTCATCCTCAGCTATGTAGTGAGTTCAAGGCCAATCTGGGCTACATGAAACCATATCTCCAATGCAAAACAAAAACATGTTTATATAAATATAGTATTTTGATTTTTATACTTATTTCTGGTGAATTTATAGATGCTCAGTATGAAAATATGAACTTCCATATTTTTTAATGCAACCTAATGAAGATGATAATTCCCTTTTGATGAACTGTTTTCATGAGCTTCGTGTTGTTGCAAAACACTTATTAAAGTAATATGCACTATTTCATCATATATGTTGTTTACAAAAACATTTAAATTTTTTTTGTGGTGCTGGAGCGCAAGACTATGTGCATTGTGAGTGTGTGTGTGTGTGTGTGTGTGTGTGTGAGAGAGAGAGAGAGAGAGAGAGGTGAGTCAATGTGTGAGTGTGTGTGTATGGGTGTGTATGTGTGTGTGTGTGTGTGTAACTTTTTAAAAATTACTGAACTTTTTCTGAAGCTCTGACACCAGGCGCCATGGTGGTTCCTGGACCAGGGTTAATGAAACAGTGGTGCTCACAGGCTCATGTTCGTTGTGAGAAGCAAAGGTGTTGGCAGCGAGCTGAGGTGCTATCAAAAATGTTCAGCCTTTCTGTAGGCCTTAAGTCCTGAGCCTCCCGGAGTCAGGATGCAGGAAAGCCTTTTGGGAAGATAACCACCATTCCCTTTAGTTTTAAAGGATGAGCAACCATCTTTATAAACAAAAGTTGCATGTGGTCATTGAAAGGCTGGGGAGGAGAGGAGCAGCGCCCCCAGCCTTCCTGACGTACAGAGCATGTGACACCATAGAGCTCGTCCCATTTTCCAAGTGTATGATTCTGGAGTTTTTAGTTTGCCCTGAGTGGGGTCATCATTGCCCCCACGTACACATTTTCATCACCCCCAGAAATAAACATGCCCATTATGGGGTCACTCTCCTGTCCCTGCCCCTCCAGCACTAATCTCTGGAAAGTTCTGCATGTATTTTAGTACTGTGTCTCCATTCAGTACTCCTCCTTAGAGAAGGAAGAGTGCCCAGCTGAACCTACCGGAGACCACATGTCCCCTTGTTCCCACAGAAAGGCCACAGTGACAAAGATACAGCCAAGCAGGGCCATCTTTGTTCACTGAGATTGACCATGGCAACCCTAGCTTTGCTAGGCACCGCCCCTCCCTCCGCTGTCACTCATCCTGACTGACGGCAGTGAGTTCATTCAAGGTCACCGTGCCTGTCCTGCTCTGGAGACCAGCAGGCAATGGGGAGGAGGAATTAAGAAGCATGGTTGCAGATAGAGCCTGGGCCGGCCCTAGGAAGATGCCTTGTTTATGGTGGTAATGTTTTTGTGGGAGCAATATGAGGGACAGTGAGTGGATGTCACTAGGGATGAAGCTTGAAGGTAAAGTAACAGGACCAGTGAACCATCATGGCAGAGAACAAGGAGTTACCCTGTTTGTCACAGTGAGGAGAGACTGCTGAGCTGGGGTACAGTTGTTGTTGTTTTTATATACAGGGTCTTGCTGTGTAGCCTTGGATGGCTTGGAATTCACTATGTAGACCAGGCTGACCTCAACCTCAGAGATTAGCTTATCTCTGCCACCCAAGTGGCAATCCAGATGTTCTTGATGTGGATTATGTATGGAAAGTTTAAAAGCATTTCCATGGGAAGGCCATTTGCCTTGGCTTGTATTTTATCTTGTAAAGATGGTACCTTGGACAGACACCCACATCCTTTGACTCCCATCCAGCTGTCAAATAGTGTTTTCATTTGGCCCATGGAATGTGAGAAGTCCCCACAGAGGAAAGGCCTCATTCAGCTTTCTATACTCTTAAAACATGGCCTTGTATGAAGGATGCTTTCACACTTTACCTCGGAGACTGGCCTTGACTCCCTGGTCCTTCCTCATCCTTCCTCTTTGCAACCTGAGGAAATGGAAATTGCAAGCTGATGAACCACAGGGTGTTCTAGCCACAGATCTGCTGAGGAGTTCCCCGAGTGTTGCTTTAATTAATGGATTTCTTAAGGAAAGTCTCAGTCTGACTCAAACATGCAAATACGTTAGCCTCATTTTAAGAAACTGGCTCAACTTAGCCTCCAGGGTTATTTCTCATCCTGGGACAAAATATCAGTTTCCATGTTTTTATTTTATTCCAACTGTGGGTTCAGCATCGTGCTCTGAGAAACGCCAAGATACATTTTTCCACTCCATCTAACTACAGAGAAAAGGATGACTCCTAAGAGGGTTGACGAAACAAGCGGTGTTGGTCCATCCTCAAGAGACTGAAATTCCCAGATCCCATAGCCAGGAGTCAGCCATCTTCCTGCCTCCGGGATTAGCTTGCGACCATCTGCCCCTCACTCAGGCCTCTTGGCATCTGCACCAAGGCTGATGTCAGCGTCATCCGATTCTTAGCACTGTGCTCATGCCATTTATGTCTTCAAGTTTGGCTGAAGCCCCATGCTTTCTGAAGATTTGGGGAGTTAATCAGTGGCAATAGGGGGGACAAGCTGAGCACTAACTGTTAACATAGGTCGTAGAGCCCCTTGCAGGCTGGCAGCCACAGGAGGGCTGTGCTGACAGAT